ATGGCCAAAAACACCAGACTAACAAAAAGTTTTAATAATCTGTTATATAATGTAAACTTTACCTATCTGATTTTTCCCGGAGTAGGTCCAGTAATTCGAGTCTCTGACTCGTTACATGCATGAAAGTCTGCAAGAAATACACTATTTTCTGGAGCACAATTGCTTACTTTAGGACATTATACAGCAACATATAGTTAAATATTAGATCTGTGTGAACAAGCTGATAGCATTTTGTATAGAAAGAATATTATTAATTGTGACCGTCAAGATGATGGTGCAAGTTATCATCTTTTTTGTTCTTCTTTTCTTAATCAAGTTATGAATCCAGATACTTCAGAGAATATTCGTTATGGACTTTTCATTTATTTGTTTATAATTGGTAAGTTATTAATATATTTATATTAATATTTTTAGCAAAATTTAAAACCTTTAATATTTTAACTAGACGAATTAATTAATGCATATCAAAACAGAACAATTTCACATTTAGAAAAGGCTCAAATGGTTATGATGGCATATTTTTTTCTTACAATATAGAAATCATATATCAGATTAGTTGCATTAAATAATCCTAATTATGTTAGTCTTGAAAAAATTTTTTAGCAACACAAACATTTAATATTTTAATAAGTTTGGCGGAATCAAACTAGTAAGAATAACAAATACAGTAACTGCTATTTTTTAAAGTTTACTAGTACTAAAATCTTATTATATTAATATTTTAATTTATTTTTGTTAGATTCTTTTAATTGTATCTTATCGTGATTATTATAATTTATACCCATTATTACCATGGCTTCATGGGTCTGAAGGATGTAAGCACTCTTTTGGATTATGCCGACAAATAAATAATGATTTTACCTTTTCTGATTTATTATATATAGTTCCAAAAGTGTCATATATGTATAAGGCATATATGACTGGCAAATTGAATGAAGTAATTAAAGACAAGACCTCTGGAGTTAGTAAGAATAATTCTATTTTATTTATTTTATATGAAATTAAGTTCTAATTACCTATTTTTATTAGGCTATATTACATATTATAATACTAGAACACTTGCAGAAATGATTAATATATTATATCAATAGCCTTCAGATGATGATTTATTTTGTGCTATTCATAAGGGGTACCAACAGGCTTGGGATTTTGCAAAAGTTCTTTCAATGGTTAATCAAAATGATAATTTTTTTGATTGTTAAATATTTTAAATGAACAATCAAGCCAGTTAAACAATGAGAATGATTTTTCAGATTTTTTTATTAATAATTCGTCCCAAAGCAATGAGGTTTTCGATTCTTATACAATTGCCATGGTAGCAAATGTTTTAGCAGATTTTAATATGTTAAATCTTTGTAATGATGATATTGAAAATGATTTAAGAGATGCACATTTTGAATTGGCTTTTTTGTTATCAGATATGAATTCTTTAGATGATCAGAACTTTTTAGATAATCAAAATTTAGAGACACATGAAAACTTTTATACTGGTGTTACAAAAGCAGAAATTTTGGATGTTTCTTATCTAGTTAATTTGCGAAAAAATCATAAATGCTATAGTAATCAAAATATGAAACGAAAAACTAGTTGTAAAATTTAGGATTTTAGTCATATAAATTCTATTTGTCCAAACATGGTTAGTAGTTTAATTGCAAATTATATATCAAATATTGAAATATCATGAAGTGAAAAATTACATAAAATTTGGTAGAAAAATCATAGTCGCTTGTCTGTATTATCAAATATGAATAAGAAAGTTGGTAAGTAGTTAATATTGTAAGAATATAGAAGTTCAAAATGCTTATTTAATAAATTATTTTTAAAATTTAGATTTAAGTGGAATAACTATTGCTAATATCAGAGAACATAATTCTCTTCGCAGACATGGTTATGGGTTTTCTTATATTAATCACGAAATTTGCTTTGTACAAATTTTGGCATTATATTAGAAGAATTCTAATTACCATTCTTATATA